AAAGAAAGAAACACAAATCCCTGCATCCAAGGACTCTGGTGCGCCAGGCGAAATATAAAGTCCAGATAACGCGAGGAGGTAGCGTACGTATGTACAAAAAGAGACTGTCGAAAGGAGAAGGAAGAAAGAAAAACAAAAACGAGAAAAGGGGGTGGCGGAGGAACCGATGAAATCAGCGACTTAATTGAACATTAATAACAAGGTGTAATTAAGGTACGGGCAGTGGTGGTGTGTGCACGACGATATAATCAATGCGCGCGATGCGCCCGATCCGCGTGTTGTTCCCGAGGAAAAATTGGCTGCGGAGGAAAAGCCCAGCGGGAAAGAGAGAGGGGGGGCCTCGGCATCGCGATCGGCCCTGGACCCGCCGTATAAAATCCGCGTTGTTTTTTCTTCTCCTCCGTCTCTTTAGCCGCAGCGGAGCTCCGACTCCGAGAGGATGCGATCGAATCTCGATGTAACGTACGGGGTACACGTGCGTGTACTCGAAAGCGAAAGCTACACACGCAGTTTCTGCCAGCACCGTGGCATTTTATCAAGGACTCTTCGCGCTTGAGAGAGACTGGCGCTTTTTCTCCCTCGTTTTGTTGGGATGGAAAAAACGAGGCAACGAGACACGGGAGGGAGGTCGTATTAACCAATTCTTTTGCCAAGTTGGCTTTATCTGCTTGTCTATTTACTTGTATCCATCTGTCCGTCGGTTCGGTTTGGCTTGGCTCTTTACCATTATCTGATAAACTGACATAGGCGCGTACGTATACGTACGTACACCTCGGCTACTTACCGGCCACTTGAGCAAGCGTGCGGGGACGATTTCGTGAACTGCTGTTGGCATTTTTGCCTGTGTTTCAAAGTTGGTCGAAGATTGTCGTGGACAATTGTACCAATGATGTCTACTGTAATTTCTTGTAATGAGACGTGAAATTAATAGGATGGCGTATAAGGAAAGACCCGAGGTTTCATTCTTAACTTTATGGGTTATCGATCCACAAAATCCAAAAGTTTTTTCGTCAAACTTAACATATTAAATTGTTTTGCATAATAATCTCGTCCACGAAATTTATCAAAGCCTACTCTATTTTAATGTTGGAAATTCGTTAAGACATGGTTTATCTCTTGGCAAGCTGAGCCTTGTATGAATAAATCAAAAAAAGAACTCTCTTATCAGAAAACTCTTAAAATTTAGAAATTTTTTTTCTCAAGACATATCTTTGGGACAACTGCTATATATATACTGCATATATGCGTTATGAGTAAGATTTTTTTCATTGCAGAAGACTCTTATCTCAAGCTTTTTTGTATTATTATTATCGTTTATTTTTATTAATATTATNATCATTTTTACAATTATTAATATTACTTTTAAAATTATTATAACGATAATTATTGTTATTATTATAATTATTATTATTATTATTATACGTGATTCTCCTTAACGCAGTTTCAATGAAACAAACTATTAGAAAATTACTCACATTTCAATATGCATTTTTGCCTATTTACACAAATTAGATTAGTGGTGTGACTGTATATGAAAGCAATAAGGCACCGCATTCAGGTGCATATATATATACTTTATTGTGAAGAGAAAATAATGAGTGTATTAGATACGGAGATATGGATCCTTAACATGTGGTACACATCAAATTTTATAAACTACAGAATTAAACAAAGAGATGTAGTAAAGTTGTTTAAAAAAATAAAAACATCTGACATATAATAAATAAATGTATTCCAATCATTGCGTTGATTATACAGCAAAGAAGAAACACCTATGATCGGTAGTATGATTTTTGTAAGTACACTGCGTAAATATTATAATAAATACTTATTTAATTGTAGTATCAAGATTTAATTTAAAATTTCAGAAAATTGTTATCCGAACTAGTACTTTACAGAACAGTTGATTCAAATAAACAGTTGGAACTGTCATAATATTGTCACGCTGTGTAGCAACTTAATATTGTTTTCTTTAAATTGGCTAAGAAATGATTAAGAAGCTACAATCGGTAAAAAAAGTTTCCAAGTATAAAACACAACATAAGCTTGACCAAAATTAATGATACATTTATTTTTCAGATAACCCATGCATGCTGTCCTACATATATATATAATATTATTTAATAAAATTCATCATGTACGCAACTATCACAAGATACAAGGTTATTTTTATTTTTACGAAACACATAAACATCTTTGAATTTACTTAATAAATACCAGACGATCCAAAATCAATACTGTGTTACAAACAGAAATATTCTTACAAGTTATTTAATCAGTTTTGAATGGTAATAAGAGATGTAACAAGAATGCAAGTACTTATTTGTACGAGGCCAAACGGTTATCTGTACTCTTCTCATAATCAACTACCTATTTTTACTGGCCATACTTTGACAGAATCATCTATTTTTAACATTACGTTTAAGATAAGTCTTGAAAATACAATTTATTGAATTTGTTCATCGGTTTCCAGTACACAGAATCAATTCGTTGGCTTCATCGTACTGGCATATCATTCTGATGAATCCTTGAAAGTGGTCATTAGTTACTCATCACCATTATTAGATAAAGTATATCAATAAAAATATCTATACTAATGGAAGAAGTCAATGTATATGCACTTATTGATTATTTAAAAACTTAGTCAGTTTCATGATACGCACTTCATGCCTCTCTTTATTCGTGTTTTTAAAAGTACAATAAAAATCAATAGAAAAAAAAACTTGAAAAAGCTTAACACTGGACAAATATAATAACCGGATTGCTGCATAGGGCATACAGAAATAGACGAGAAGTATTAACTTTCAACAATTTGAAGGTTACGATGAGGGCACGAAACAGTGAAAATATTTAAAATTATACTTCGACTAACCAATTGATACGCAACTAGTTAGTAATTAACTACCGATTAAAGTTATATTAAAATTAGCTATCCAATTGATGAAAATTCAAAGTAAAATGGGAGTTATTTTTACTAGTGACGTTAGCCAAACATGACGTGATCGCTCCGAAGCAATTTCAAATTTGCCCCAAATATAATATCGTTACGGTAATAATGTTATTGTGAATGTCCCAGATAATGAGAATACTCATGAAAACATCGTTTTTTCATAAGCTTTCGATTGGGCAATCAACATTTTGCACGCCCATTGAATAATAAAGCAAAACAACGATCAAAGTTGTCGATGGAAAAATTTTGTCAGAAAAATCAATCTTATTGATGCCTAAAGAGCTCTTATTGATCGTACTTTGTGTTTAGACTGCAGTTGATTCCCTAAAAAGTCTTTATTAATTGAAACACGTCATTTTAGGATGAAGTGTGTCTATTCCAAGGTAATAAGAATACTTAAGTTTGTCACGTATGTCTTGATAAGTTGTAATTACAGCATCAGCTAGGATAGGTAACCTTATCATCTAAATATTGCTACACTTATTCTTCAGGGCATAAATTTAAGTCGTACGTTTTCATTTAATTAAATATTATTCTACATTGTGAGGTATCGATTGTTGAAACACTTCAAAATAGGAGTAGTAAGAGCTCTGTGAGCATCAGAACAATTTGTTTTTCTGACAAACTATTTTCCCGCGACAACTTAGTTAATTAATTTTTTATTAATCTAATGTAGCATTTAGTAAAAGACATGAAAATTAAAAACCCTCATTAGCTCAGATTTTCCAAAGAATTGCGTTATTGTGTAGTTACATTTTTGGTACGAATTTAAATTTACGTTCCAGTGATCGCGCCATCTTGGACTGAGGTTACAAGTCAAAATTTCAAACATGCACAGCAGTGAAAACTACAAACTTGCTTTATCAATTTGTACTCAGTTGAAAACTTTATTTTCAATTCAACATACATCAAAGCTGCAATTAATCTAGATGCTATACGTCTTTAATGATAGAATTAGACAAGCAATTATCATGCAGTGGTAAAATAAGTATTTCTAATACCTGAAAGATTATTCTATCAGTAGACGATATGAATTTGAAAATTGTTCTAAGTAGTGTCGTGCGCATCAACATTTAGATATACCAAATATTACGAGATAAAAATTAATGCTCTTATAAGTACATATAACTAAGCTCATTAAAATTTTTTCTTGTTGCGCTGTAATAATCATGTATTTTAATAAATTTCAAGAGAGGACATTTTAGTGACATATACTTGAAATGATTCGAGATGGAAAATCAATTCTAACTCGCATGTTTGAAATACAATAACTACTATCTGAAAAGCCTTGGAAAGCAGAAGTTTTTGCGTATCGCCACCATCCCACATACAAAGGTGCACTGAGAGAAGAACTTGTTAGTAATTAACTTCATATGTTAACTATTATCTTACATATAATATGTATCCCGCGTGGTGCCATCTAACGTGGCGCAGGTTCAAGGGAAATATGGCAAGTTAACTATTAACATTTCACTGTGTGCAGTTGATATTAAAAAATATGTAAGGAATACATAACCTTATTTTCTGTTAATATACGTGTACGTTGATAATAAACAAATTCTTTTCTCAGTGTAGACTGCCCGTCAAAACCACTTAGAATTGTACAGGAAAAAAGCTAAGTACGAATGTAATCATATGGATAAGGAAAGAATTGTGCTGCCTCAGAACCTTCTTTGAAATTATTTTAAGTAAAATACAATATTTTATGAGAATTTTATAGAATACACTAAGTACTTTAAAGAAACATAATTTTAACTTCAGAAAATAATTTTTTTAAAGTACTGGGACTTCATATTTAATAAGAATACCATGATACTATTCAATTGTCATTAATTTTGATGAATAAGATTCCTTATATGGATATTCACTTTTGTCAACCTAATAACGATGGAAACCAATATTTAAATGCTGCCTATCTTGACTAGCACAACGAAACCTATTTGTGTATCGTATAATTATATCTCTCTTATCTTTACATACATTTTTCTGCTGTGCATACATTTCGTTTAAAATGTTCAAAGAAACTAACCAACAATTTTCATTGAACGTAAAAAAAGTATATTTCCAGTATATACTTTGGTAAGTAATGATTAATAAACAATACACTCACATGTCAATATGTGAATATGTGTAATTGACTCATGATTCATGTAACAAGTAAACATCATATGAAACTTCCGATTGTTGTAGATCTGAGGCAATATTAATTATTCAACAAACGATCAAAAAATATTGTTGCATCAACCTAAAAAATTACAGACTAAGTGTTTGAAGAAAGATTGGAAATCGTCAAACAGAAAGGTAAGTTTTTGTTTGATAATTGAAAATAAAAGCTTTTCTTGCACACCATTTCTGAGAGCACGTGGTTTTGCTGTTTGCTCTCTGGGGCAAAAGTTTTACAGTTTCTTCAAAATTGTAAAAAATTACATTCACTGCTCACAAAAAAGAATATTTCTCGTGTTTACCATTCTTGCTTTTAACTGAAAAGAAAATTTACGTTCATGGTATTAAAATGATGTCCTCGTGAGTGTGATTTGTACCTGATAGGTTAGATCACACTCTCTGACTCAAAAGAAAAAAACAAAATTAGTACTTTAGTTCGCAGATTTTTCCTTGTTATGTATTTAAAATTTAATCGATGAATTACAGATGTGATTCTCTAACATACCTTAATTCAAACCATCAAAGACTTGCAAAAATTCTTTACTTCATCAAAAATACTTTCAATACTACCAACATTTTTATTTTCATAAATTTCAGTTAATCAAAAATAGTACGACCATTCTGAAATAATATCCTAGGATACGGACATAGTGTAACATGTTTAAATTTTTTTTCATCAGTTAAGATTGATAAGAACACACGATTTTTTTGGATCACAAAAGATTACTTAAATTAGTCAATACATTGGATGAAAAAACAATTTTGCGTTAAACCAAAAGTATTAAATAAACCAAAGTTTGTATAAGTGGTAAAGTAAAGGATTTTTTATACATCTCCTTTTTTCATGAAGTTATGAAGTGGAAGATTGTGGTTTTTGATACATAAATTCAGTAAAAACCATCCAAAACTTTTTAAGATTTATTATTAATTTTTAACAGATTACAATAAAGTTAGTCTCCATCAATACATCCAAGTAATGTTCTAACGTATTTAACATCTGACTTTAAAAATTACACGTTACATTTGATTTTCAACTAGAAATGTTTAAAAAGTAAAAACCAAAAATAATTTTCTGTCACGAGTTTCTTAAATTGAAAATGAAATGAAATTATTTAATAGTTGGTAATTTAATTAATGATTAAAACTACTTAATTGTGTTGTAAGCTTTTCTCAAATTATTAACCTTTTACTTGAAATTTGGAAAACAGTACATATTCTACAGGGCTCAATAACATTTATTATTCTATTTAAAATATCAACAAAAAAACATTTTATTCTTAATTGTAAATAGAAACTTTTTTTTAAATGGAATGGAATTAAAATAAGAGCTGTAATGTAAACTAATTAAATAGTATACTTTGATTGTTACGTGAATTGTAATTAAACTAGGATTTAATTTAAATATTTAAAACTCTCTACATCCAAGTATTTCATTCAATTCTTCTCTTCATTATTTTACATTAAAATCACCATGCCATTACTAAATAATTATAATTATTCAGTGGAATACCCCTGCTGTGATATTAAATGAGTTATTAAACCAATTTGTAGTAGTTATTATTTTTAGTTTACATAACTTTTTTTTTATTGTAAGACAAATCATGTGGTGTATGTACTCATAAACTGAACTTTAAATAAATTTTCTTCAACAGATAACCGACGTTATTAGAGGATCCGACAGATATAGTTACCGAACCACATCTCAACTGATCTACAATTTCGAATGATATGGCCGAAGTTAGATGTCGCCGGGAAATCACCTATTCTTGCGATACGTGTCAAAAATCTTTCATCCGCCCTTATTACCTCACCGTGCACAAACGTATCCACACGGGCGACAAGCCCTACCGCTGCTCCATATGTCTCCAAGCCTTCATAAGAAATAGCGATCTCACGAAACACCAGCGTACTCATACGGATGCCAAGCCTTTCGCCTGCCACGCGTGTCCAAAAACCTTCAAGGACAAATACAGCCTCGCAGCGCACAAGCATACCCATTTGGAAAAAACACCCAACCGCTGTACTGTATGTTCAAAAATTTTGTTCAACAAAACAAATCTCAGGGCGCACATGCGCAGCCAGCACACCACTCACCGCTGCACCATGTGCCCACAAATTTTTCACCGAAACATTGATCTTGCAACGCACATACGCACCAACCACCGTTGCACCCAGTGTTCACGAAATTTCGCTAACGGAGAGGATCTTGGGAGACACGTATCATCGGAGCACATCCATCGCTGTACATTATGTTACAGAACTTACAAAAGAGGTAGCGATCTTTCAAAACATGTGAACTCTTATCACGGGACTTACAGTTGCACCATTTGTTCAAAAACTTTTACGGAACATGCCGTCCTTATGAGACATGCGGCCTCTGCCCACACCAATGGTCAATATTAAATGGTTTTTGCTTCTCATGGTATATTCAAACTCCTTAACTTCAATCAATAATAAACATTTCAATGCATATGAGGATTCCTGATAAAACCTTTACTCTTTCAACTAAATAAATTTAACAATTTTTTGTATGTAACGCCAAGTAAATGTGTAACATCAGTCATATTTTCGGGACAAAGTGATGTTCATTTTAAGTACATTATATCATACTGCTTTATTTAAGTTAAAAATCAAATATCAAAATTATACTAGATAAATCTCTTCAAAATTTTGAGTAAAGAGTTACATTGCATAAGTCCAATAAATTATTAAGGTAAACTTATTGAAAGTCTAAAAATACACGTCAATTATTAGTTGTACCGCTATGATGAAAATATACACCAGAGATTCACATGCAGTAAACATTTTAATTCTGACTTATAGTTTTATAATTAAGAATTTTGTTGAAATGTGGCACTTACCTATTATGTTGGTTTCTCATCAGATTACATAATTTCTTGTAATACCCTAAAAAATGCTATAAAGAGTATAAATAAAATATATTCTTCAATGTAAGGCGTATATTTTTGTCGTAAACTATATCACGAATATCAACTTGTATCATCTCTAGGTGTATAGATAGAAATAACTATTTTAGATTTCTACAAATATTGTGAAGAAAGTAAATTATCTGTAAGTGAAACATTTTTAACATATTTTTATCTTGATTTTTAAGTTAGTTACTTTTTTAACAATACCTATCATTAAACGCTAAGTATCTCAACATCATCTCAAGATTCCTGCACGTGCGGAGCTTATTAGTTGGTAACTAAGACAATGTGAAGAAAACAAATTTTCAGAACAACTCATCGACAATTTAGAACATTGTAACATTTTATTTAGTGTACTGCAAGGATTAGTACAATATTAGTCACACATGACACTTTTCACATACGATTTCATAACAGTAGCATGACATCCACACTCATGGGTTAGTGTTGAGATTTTTAATTTAGGGAAACTTTTATGCGTAATGTACCATCTGCTTTACAGAAAGGTATCAGAGTTGCAGGTCATTGATTAAAGTTGACTTAAGTGCATGATTTTGTACCAAGTTGAGAGTACAATTTTCTGTCACTTTGATAATCGTTGGTAAATTGTCACTATGCAAAACTTCAGTACATCAACCAACCCAAGTCTGTTGCTAATTTTTAAAAAAGCAAAACTTTTCAACACAACATTATTTCATTTCTTTTAAAGAACACACATACAAAATTTTAGATCCTTATATTTAGCAAAAAATGTTTACTTGTATAACTTTTTTACCATCAACATTTATTCGACTGCATTTTGATCCAATGAATTTCATGGAATACAATTGAATACTGGTACATGCAGTATTTTCATGAGCAACCCAAAACACCAAAAGTTATCGATTTATTTGTGTAAAAAAGGAATACTTATTGTACGGGAAATTCCTTTGAAAAATAAGTTTTTGCACGAACAAACGTGTACACGTGCACGTAGAGCCTCGGAAATGCAAGAACTAGGACTACAGAAGGAACAAAGGGTCGAAACTGACCATGCAGCTTGGGCCCGTATGGAGAAGAGGCAAAGGAAGAAGATCTCGTTTTGTTTCAGCAAATAATACATTAGAGCGAGCAAGCACTTCCGACAGTGGATATTCACTTCGTGATCCTCTCTCTCTCTCTCGTATCTCTCTTGTTTTACTCCGTACTCTGTGTGCATGTGGCAGGGGATGCAGCGAAAAAATCGCCCATTTCTGCTCTCGCGATATTATTTACATAGGCCGATTAATCATGCGCTTCCTGCTTATGTGTATCGCGTGCATCATTAATAAGAGAGCTCCAACTGCTCCGAGAGAGGAAGAGCAAACGAGGAGAAGGATGAGAGGGATTTCTCGGATATCTCGTTATCCGCCGATTGTGAGCCGGTAAACGTAAGCTTTGCTTCTAGCAAGTATACTTGATTGGTCTTTGGTTCAAAATATGTTTGTTAAAATTGGTATTTACCCTTGTTTCGACTCTTGTATGACATCAATTATTTACATTTTAGATATTGTCCTTGAAGTAAATACAATAACGGGGTAGTGATAAAACAATATTTATCAATTTCGTACGAACTTTCAATTAGATTAGGCGCCAAGGTCTACGTGTACCATCGACTTTCAAGGTGGTGCATATCAAGTTGTCTTCTGACGCATTTACATATAAATATGACTCAAAACTGACGCAGTGTCATTTTGACCTTTTAATAATAAAAAAATTCCACTACGACCGATTCCTAACGTGTTTTATGTTATAAAAAATGAAAATGAATTTGTTCCACGCATTACAACATTGTATTACTCTGACTAAAATAAATTATCGTGAGTATTGTGGATCAATCGAATATGTATTTTTGTGCAAAATCCGTGATATTTTTTAACTTATAAATAAGCACAGTAACATGAGAAATAAGTGTACTGATGCAAATGAGAAGTGCAGTCAAATTTTGGTTGTTTTGGTTGCTAAAGTCCGTGTCCAGTCGCACGATTCAATAAAATCTCCAGTTCTACTCGACGTTTTTCATATTATTTTTATTTCTCTACGCAAATTTGCTTTCATCATCTACATTTCTGTGTAAGTATTTTTAAATGGATATCTATGATAAAAAAAAGCTAATTAATAACTAAATACTGTTTAATTATTTAATCTTGTAAGTAAAAAAATTAATTACCGACTTGATAGATATCCTGGATAATTAATAAAAAGACATTGTCTTTGAGGTGTGTGAATGCACGTGTAATGTTTATCCACGATAAACGTCACCTATTTTGTATGGTATTCCGAAAGATAGTAGTTAATTGCCAAATTACCTGTGCAAAGACAAAGATAATGATTCCTTCAACTTTCTCCTAATTCTGTTGGCGGGGATATTGTGGAACACTACTGATATAGAAACTCGTAAAATTTCGATTCGAGGACATCAGGTATAATAAAACGCTTGTCCGTCACAAAACGTAACCTCTTTGGCAAATAAATTACGTTTCCTTCTTCGCTTTCATTTTCTCATTTTACTTTTTACACCCAGTCCAAACCAGTCCAACCTTATCTCATGCAGCGTGTTTTTCTCCGACTAACCAGCGCACCGTTACCACGATATACCCTCCCACACCAGTGCTGCCGGTGCTGTTTTTATATACATATTATGTATATGTATATATATATAGTTGCTGCTATCAAATCACCCACGCCTTGAACTGTCTAATGGTCTACTTTATCCAACTAAAACATTAAAACCGCAGAACCAGTGCCTTTCTCTCACTAGTTTGTACCACTGCTGCGCACCCCTCCCCCACGTAATCTACAAACTTGGATTAGGTTATTAATGTTCAGTGACAAATACAAAGAATGCCGTGGCAGCGAACGTACACCAACCCCGCTTTTCCTCCCCAATACACTCTCCGCCTCGAATCCTCTCTTATCGAACCTACTATTTCACCACTTTTCAGCCAACTCGCAGACTCGCACTTGTACAACCAGCCGGGAGTGGTTTGTTAATATTTATGACCCCGGGACGTAGTTTTTGTCGCGGTAGTTCTTTTGGAATGTACCATAGTTTGGATAAATGCAGCTTCTGCGCGTACCTGTTGTAACGAGTTGGGACGAAAATCGAGTTTCGTAATACCCAGAGACGTTGGAAAATTTACTTTTCTTTTCCAACAGATGTGCCTCGAGATATCGGTGTATTTACCGCGGCACGTGAAATATATACTTTTTCCCTGTTTTGCGCCGCGTGGAAAATCGTATGGAAAAGCAATAAACGTCGATACGTGTACGGCGCCCAAACAAAGTAAACGGAAAAAAGATCAAAGCGATCTGTCGAAAAATGATTATTGATACGCTCGGTGGTACGGAAAGGGCTGGTATCCGAAATGTCTTTGAAAATAAATCGTAGCGCGCGATTTCAAAAGGAAACAGTGCCCGTGCGAGGCGAAATAAAAGAAGCAGTATATTTCGGTAGTTTTAGGATTATTATATGTACATATGTAAGGAGCGCGGCGAATTCGCGTACGATGAGGCTGTTGGCTGATGCGGGCCTGGGTGTGCGACGGCTATTTGCGTTGCAGACGACGGGTGCAACGGCTGCACCGGCCGCGGACCTTGAGCGATTATTTTACTGCAAAACGCGACTCTCTCTCTCTCTCTTTTCCTCCATTATTTTTCTCCTTCTCTCGGTTTTATAATGCACCACGGCCGCCGGTCGTTTCCTTCTTCGTCTTCTGCT